TCAATCTTGAGCCGGTGAGATTAGAACAGCTGAACTGCAGATAACAGTCAGCTGAAGTGGCTGCAGTATTGCACCCTAACCACTGTGCCACCTCGGCTCTAATTCCTGGATTAGGGTGTTGTTTTCTATTTAATTGTTTGGTGTTAATCTCTACTTATCTTGGTGTTGGTGCCTGAAGAGGATATATTCTTATTTTTGTTTTGTTTTGTTTCATTTCCTTCTTAACTTTTTAATTGAATGGTGTGTAAATGTGGTTTATCTCTATGTGTCTATTGGTAGTTAATTATCTTGAGTACCAAACTTCCAAGAGTTCCCTGGATGATACTTCTAGTTCGGATTAAAATGCACTGTATCTGTCTGTCCATTTTTTCTTCAGCCTCACAGGTACAGAATTGTTCATTATGTGAATTTTCTTTCTCAAATAGGATTAGCAAATAACTTTGATGCCAACTATTGGATAGGCTTGAATAATCCAGATTTTGACAATGGATGGCAGTGGAGTGATCACCAACCTTTAAGATATTTAAACTGGGCTTCAGGTGAGTAAATATGTACAATTATAAAGCCACTAATATTTTATAAAGAGAAGTGTAAAGATTTAAGATTATATTAATGTGTGAGATGGCTCCATTCCTCACTGATGTGCCACCTAACTCCTGTCAATTCATTACAGCTGAGGTGGAAGTTGTGCCTTATCTAGAAAAATTGTTCAGCCTCATATACAGACTTGATCTGGCTGGCCCCTTTGATCTGATCAAAAGGGTCACTGACTGAAGGTAGGCCGCCTCTACAATTCAGTTCATTGAAAGAGAATACGATTTTGGCTGACTGTCTGGAAATGCACACATTGGAGCTTTGTTGAATGAAACATACTTTCAAGCTCTACACTGCTCTAACACTTAATTGGAAAACAATTTAATTTGTTTACAGATAAAAATGTTATCCTCTTGGACATCAAATAGTGATAGGATAATCTGGTTCACTGTCTCTTACAGGTAGCCCTTCTCCAGAAACAGGAAAAAACTGTGGATTATTGCAGAGTGGTAATGGCAAATGGGCAAATAATCTGTGTGAACAGAAATGTGGATACATTTGTAAAAGAATGAACTCTTCAGTACAGGCATCTGGACCTTCTTCAGGTAGATTTAAACTAGAAATTAAGTTAATTGAATAAATATTCTTTCACTGATATGAATGGCATTCATGACCCAGATTACATTTTTGCATTCTTTTTCTAATGAGGGTTTTGGTCCCAGAGTAATCTATCTAGAGCATGGGTCCCCATTCCTTGGGCTTCAGGCCACCTCTGAGACATGGCCTATTCGAAATGGGGCCATGTAAACTGCTGACTGTAGAGTGGGGACACGTACAACTCATGAGTGAAGGGCCAGTGGGGATTATTGTGGGCGTGCACTGACCTGCCTCTCACACAAAACAAGCTTTATGCATGTGTGCTGACCTATCACTTGTATAAGGGCTTTTTTCTTATCATTGTTCTGATTATCCAAGATTCAGAGGGAATAAAAAAAAGTATTTAGCATCAGTTTTATTTCAGAAATTTTAAATATGAAATGTAGCATGCACCTTAGATGAGTTAAATCCTGATGATTTGCAGAACTAAATGCATAGGAAAGATTTTAAACTACAGATCCCCATCTTATGACAAATTACTTAACAATAATTCAAAATTAAGACTGACCCAGAAGCCAGGGTGATATAAAATATCTCTAGCCATCATAAAATATATCTCATCCCTCATCTGCATTCCTGAGTTCATATAACTACATTTCAAGGACTTGGCAACTAGCTTACTTTTAGGACCAGTTGCTATGTCCTGCAATCATAAACAATGATTTGTGCCATAATAGCAAAATCTGGCCTAACCATGGTCGTAAATCAGTGACTACCTCTACTAATTATATATACATTTCTCTACTCACTGGTGTAGTTTTAGGTTTTCTGCCAAATTTATTTTCAAAAAAGTTTATTCACTGTAAATTTCTATGATTTGAGATGAAAGTTTTGAAGGAAAGCAACAGTCTGGTTAAAAAATAGTAATGCCAATTAGCATGCACTGCAAAAATATATATATATAGAGAGAGAGAGTATAAAAAGTATCTGCCTGATCCATGAAAAACTAACTTCAAAAATCAGATTGGATTACAATAAATCTTGATGACACTTCTAGCAAATATCCTCATGACAATGGACAAATTACTGTCATTATTAATATGAATTGTCTGATTTGCTTCTACTAAATTCTATTTATTGAATTAGTTTCATCATAATTCAAGATCAAGATATTATCTCTACCTCCACTCCCAGTTCTTGATGGTGTACATATATTGATTTTTTTTTAGATGATCTTAAACCAATTAAATGTCCAGATGGCTGGGTTGGATATGGAAAGCACTGTTACCGTCTGAATAGAGATCGCAAAACATGGAAAGATGCCTCAGACTCCTGCCAAAAGGATGGCGGACATTTACTAAGTATACATGATATTGAGGAATACAGCTTTGTTTTTTCTCAGCTTGGCTATGGTAAGTATATTTAGAAGGCTTATTTCCTGTTTCATATACATTGTGGGTACTTGGAGGTCAGAAAAAACATATTGATTCCCCCAATTGGAAACAAGGTGGCTGTCAAAGAGAAGGGTGCAGTGTGCGCCACCTAGGCTTGTCCAACAGCCAAAGAAGTGAGAAGGCCACGTGGCACGCGATCCCTTCTCTTTGACCGCTGCCTGGTTAAAAAGCCATCCCCACTTAAAAGTACCTGGCAGTGGTGTTTTTCCCTGGGGGGTTCTGTGGAACATCTCAATACCAATGCCACCACATCTGCCCTTTTCAGGCCCTCTTTGGCAGGTCCTCTTCAGAAGGACGAGGCTCCCCTGGTCCCCCTTGCGTTCCTTGTCTTTCCACTCCTGCGGATTGGCTCTGGAGTCCTCACTGGTTGTGCAGAGCTTCGTCAGCTCCCTGCCATTGGTCCTGCAATTCGGGCCAGCAGCTTTGTTCCCACTCTCTCCCCGCCCAGTTCCTCTTATTATGCACTTTCTGAAAGGTAGCCGCTAGTGGCCCAAAAGACAGCCATGGCCCCACACTATGGAAAACATAGGCACACAAATACCACACACAAATATAGCCCCAGAGACTCTGAGGGAAGCCTCTGAACAAACTCGGGTGAGTGAGAAAAAGTTCCTGCCATTATGAAGGCTCCGGGATGAGGGACAGAATCTTTGCTGTCTGCCAGAGGCAATGGGGCAGCCGGGTCCCACCCTCAGAGGGAGAAAGGGCCAGTTGGGAGAGGGGCTTTGGTCCTGTGCTCTCATCACACTTGAACTAAATGACATCTTGTCCAATCTGGCACCCTCCAAGGCATGGTCAGTCCACCCGTCCCATGATACGCAGTTGGTAGAGCTGGTCACGATGCTACTTTTTCTTTCTTTTTTAATCCCAGCTTTATTCCTGAAGCTCAAGGTGGCATAAATCATCATTTTCATTTTCTTCCCAGTCCTAGACCAACAATTAAAAAATTTCTTATTGGGAAGGCACCATCTGGGTCACCTGAGGATGAGGGACCCAGAAACCCCGCTGCCTCTGGTGGACGTGGCTTTAATGTCCCAAGGTGAAGATTCCATCCCTCATCCTGGAGCCTTCGTAATGGCAGGAACTTGTTCTCACTTGCCCGGGCTTGTGCGAGAGTCTCTGGGGCTGTAATTGTGCAGGGTGCACACGTGCCTATGTTTTCCATGGTGTGGGGGCGTTGCCGTCTTTGGGCCACCAGCAGCTAGCTACCTTTCAGGAAGCACATAAAAAGAGAAACTGGGCGGGGAGCATACATCCATACATGCATACATCCATAGCAGATTAGTACATCCTGCTGCATACATCCAGATTATATCCTGAGCAACATAGCATAGAGTTCTATAGGCTGGAGGATTATCTACAACCTCTGGACTTCATTCATTACATTTGAGAAGAAATTAATAAAATGGATTTATCTTTTTAGAATCAACAGATAATTTGTGGGTAGGCCTAAATGACCAGAAGACTTTTTCATATTTTGAGTGGAGTGATGGTACTACAGTGAGATTCATCAAATGGCAGAAAGGAGAACCCACACTTATAAGCAACGTGCAGGAAGACTGTGTCATCATGACTGGGAAGGTAACAATAAGAACCCTTAATTGTCTGGGGGATATTTTTTTCCTCTTCAGTTCTCTCCTGGATAAAATTCGTGTCTAGAAATTTATCTGATACAATATATTATTCCATAACATAATTTATTCTACAGATCAATGTTTTTTAAACTTTTTTCCTTTCCACAATCTTTTCCACATTTAAAAATTATGGAGAACTCCTAAAGAACTTTCGCTGGTATGAGTTACTGACTTTTACAATATTATAAATTACATTTCCTGCTGCTACCATGTTTCACAATTGTGGATGGGCTTTAATATTGTATTATTTTTCAGTGTGGGCTGGCAGAAAATTATGACTCTGTGAGTCTTTACGTTTTAAGAAATACTATAATATTCCCATTTTGACAGCTTTTAAAAGAAAGGTTAGAGGCTTTTTTATTTGGTTAGTGGGTTAATGTAAAGTCTGATTGTTCTACAATAATATATCTGACACTTCTATCTTAATACTTCAAATAATCATAGATGTATATATTCTGGAACTCATCTCAGCATAATTTTAAATACGTTGGTCTTGTATTGCTTTTAATTGTTTGTTAGGTTGCTGTTACTACTGAGCTAAGTTTATTAATTTGATTTGTAAGGACATCACTTAATACTTTGGAGGCATAAGGAAGATACTAATAAATCAATTAATTGTGTAAAGTAAGCAGGGTTAGTCACACTGATGAACATTGTCCTGGGGGGAAATCTTGATCCCCAAATAAAGCCTATTGTTGGCTTCCTCTATATATAATTAGAAAAGGCTCTGAGGGCTACTGAACAGAGGTGGGTTCCTACCAGTTCGGACTGGTTCAGTCGAGTAGGTAGTAACTATTGATATTAAGGGTCGAGTAGGTAGTAACTATCAGTTATAGTGGCAGCACCATAGGCCTCACCATCTTGGTTTTTTGCTTCTGTGCATGTGCAGAAGCATTTTTTTACTTTTGTGCATGCGTGTGCGAAGCGCTTCCCAGAGCGAGCTGGCAGAAGAAGCCGGAACCCACCCCTGCTACTGAACAAACATTCAAGATTTTAGACAACTGCAACTTTTAACAAACATTGTGCAGTAGTCCAGTTCGTAAAAAACCCAAAAATAATATAAATCATAACAAAAATAGGAAAAATAGGAAAGGGGAAAAATAATGGATTCCTTTTCAGTGAGTTTTGTTCATCTTTCCATCCTCAGAATGGATACATGGCGGATTATTTCTGTGAAGAGGAATTAGGATACATCTGTAAAAAAGAACCTTCAGAATTTCTTTCTGGAACAGATGAAGTTGCTGATCCAAAGTGCCAGAAAGTAAGCCTAATATTTTGTAACTCTTGATCTTGGTCTATTCATTTTCATATGAAATTTTGGAGATATCAACCAGAAAGCTAGTATTGCCTTGAGATTAACATTCCCTGCCACTCCTAACATTGGTGTTGACTCTTAGCAACCATAGATAGATTTTCCTCTGCAAAACTATAAGAAGACCAGTTATTCATCTTTATACATTGTAGTAAAAAAGAAAAAAAAACCTACCTGAAGTAATGGCTGAGCTGAAAAAAATACAGCATCTTTTCTATTCTTGGTTCAAAAGGTAGAAAAGTGAGATTTTAACTCTGATAGTAGGTTCAAAGTGTAGAATAGTGAGATTATCATACAAAATATAAACATTAAAAAATTAAAAATTACACTTTCATCAAGATAATTTAGTTAATCCAAGAATCTTTGGATTCAGGCAGGATAAAAATGTGAAAAATAAACCAATAAATCCAGATAATATTGTTCTGTATGTGTATGTTTGCTATGTCAACAGGGCTGGAAAAGGTATGGTTTCTATTGTTACCTAATTGGAGGGACATCTGGAACATTTTCAGAAGCAAAGACATCTTGTGAATCTAAACAAGGATTTCTGATCTCTGTGGAGAATAGGTAAAATATAGTGAAAGGAACAAAATGTCTTTACAGTATCCTAAATAGAAATGATATGTTAGTAAATAGTACAGATATAATTTATAAATAAATAAACATTATTTAGTTGAGTTACGTGGTTAATTTTTCTTTTGATAAGGCTGTGTGATCAAAAACGTATGGGGACCACAGATGGGTTGCTTCCGGTTTAGCGTGGATCTGGCAAACTCTTTTGGCAGCGGACGGTTCTGTCCCCCTTCAGGACACTTCTGTGCATGCGCAGAAGCATTGAGCAAGAGCATGTGGGAGTGTGCCTGAAACGATAGTAAAAATATTGGCAACCCACTGATGGGGACCACTACTATAGTGATTCACAAGTTCAGCAACCCTAAGATATGTAGACTTCAACTCCCAGAAGAGTCCTGGCTCTCGTCTCTTCTCTTTCCTTGATCCACTAAACTGGGGAATTCTGGGAGTTGCAGTCCACAATCTTAAAACTGCCAAAGGTTGGGAGAATGTTATGATATAACTGCAACTAGCAATTAGCTGGTCAGTCTAAGTCTACAGAGCTGTCACAGGTGACTTTTCTAGTTGTAGCAAAGATTGGGCAGGCCCTACATTGGCCATACTGGGATAGTTTGCCCCAGGCACCATTTATTAAGAGAACTCAGCAAAATGGAGACCTGCCTTCTAGAGGACACTGCACTGTAATCTGTAAGAAAGATTCAGTTGCTGCCCTTAGCAATTAGTTATGGAAACATACTCTTTAGTTCTGATCAGGAGTTATAAAAGATTTTAAACCTCCAGATCTGACAGGATGATGGTGTAAATTATAATTTTATCTCACCTTTTTAAAATATACAAATGTACTGAATCCTCCTGCCTCCTATTTTCCCCACAGCAATCCTTTGAAGTGGATTGACTAGTGAAAGTATAAATTGGCTCTATGATTAATCCTCTGCAGAATCTGAAAATTGACAAATTAGAGACTATCCTGACGAATTATTTTTACCACAGATTTGAGCAAGCCTTCCTGACTACACAAATTGGACATCGTCCTGAAAAATATTTTTGGATTGGCCTTTCAGATGTAGTGAATCCGGGGACTTTCAACTGGACCAATGGAGATCCCATTCGGTTCACTCACTGGAATGCAAAAATGCCTGGTATGGAATCTGTCACAGCAAATACATCCTGGCCAGAAAACTTTTATCATATTTAGCTTGTCTATGCAGATTTAGATTTAGATTTAGATTTTATTAATATTTGTAGGCCGCCCTTTTCCCTGAGGGGACTCAGGGCGGCTCACATAAAATCAGGGAGGGGGAATACAAACATTGACATAGAGACATATAATAAAATAGCAAGCAACATCCATTCATCATTCGGGAGGGGCGCCTATCCTTGTCCCCAGGCCTGACGGGCTAGCCAGTTCTTAAGGGCTGTGCGGAAGGCCTGGACGGTGGAGAGGGTACGAATCTCCACGGGGAGCTCGTTCCAAAGGGTCGGGGCTACTACTGAGAAGGCCCTCCTCCTTGTAGTTGCCAGCCGGCACTGGCTGGCCGATGGAATACGGAGGAGGCCTAATCTATGAGATCTTATTGGTCGCAGGGAGGTAATTGGCAGAAGGCGGTCTCTCAAGTATCCAGATCCACTACCATGCAGGGCTTTATGGGTGACTAATAACACCTTGAAGCGCATCCGGAGATCGACAGGTAGCCAGCGCAGCTCGCGGAGGATAGGTGTTATGTGGGTGAACCGAGGTGCACCCACGATCACTCGCGCGGCCGCGTTCTGTACTAGCTGAAGTCGCCGGATGCTCTTCAAGGGCAGCCCCATGTAGAGCACATGTAGATGCATTAAATCTGACTCCGGTCTTCCATTCTGCCAGGCCCAAATCCTGGCTGTGTTGCCATGAGAACGGGAGATGCTGCTGGACTGTGGGATGTTGTCAATTGTGAGGAGACGGCCACGTTCCTTTGCAAACAATTGGCTGAAGGGGTGACACCTCCTCCAATCCCAGAACCAACACCCCCTCCCCCATGTCCTGAAGGATGGACTGCAAGTCTAACAAGGAATGTCTGCTTCAAGGTAGGTCAGCCATTTGCTTGCTCAACCAAGTGAGGCCAGATAAGAGGCAGACAGGGGCTGGCATCAAAGTTTGCTCTCCATCCCCTTCCAGAGGGAATTTGGTGCCCTTCAGCTATGATTAATCTTCCTCTGAAAAGCCAATACAGTGATTGGAAGAACAAGAAAGCCATCATAGAGAATGCTGGAAACTGGTCATGTTCCAGTTTCCAGCACTCTGGAAACGACTTGTAACAAATGTAAAAAATAATTTTAAAAGTTTTTTTTCATCTTGTAAGGTCAAGGAATCAATCAGCCCACTAATGAGAGAAGATAGCAAGGAAATGATGAGTGTATGTAGAAAGCAGACTTGCCTAATTCATTCTTTGCATCGGTTTTCACACAAAAAGGGGGAAAATAGCAGAATCTATCAAAAACAGAATTTTAAACAACAGAATAGTAATACAAATTCAAATAGGGAAGAAAATTGTAAGAGAACACCTGTCCACTCTAGATGACTTCAAATCACCAATACCAGATAGATTAATCTCAGAATTCTGAAGGAGCTGGCAGATGTGATCTTGGAACCATTGAACCATATCTTTCAAAGATCCTGGAGGACTGGAAAAGAGCTGATATGGTTTCCATCTTCAAAAAAGGAAGAAGGTAGATCCAGAAAACTACAGACCAATCAGCCTGACATTAATACCTGGGAAGATCCTGGAAAAGATAATTGAGCAAAGACTCTACAAATACCTGAGAAGCAAGCAAAGTTATTACCAGAAGCCAATATGGTTTCTGTCTTGCTATCAAAAACAGATCATGCTAAACAAATCTTATTTTATTCTTTAACAAAGTAACTATATTTGTGAACCAGAGAAATGTAGTGGACATAGTATACTTGGATTTCAGTAAGACATTTGACAAAATAGATCACAACCTACTTAGTAAGGTAGAAAAATCCATCACTACCAGATGGATTCATACTGGCTGACAAACTTCATTCAATGTGTAGTTCTTAATGGAACTACACCTGCATGAAAAGAAGGAAGCAGTGGAATATCCTGGGGATTTTTCTTAGGTCCAGTACTCTTCATTGTCTTCATAAACAATTTAGATGAAGGGATAGAAGGGGAATTCATCAAATTTGCAGATGACACCAAGCTGTCAGAAATAGACAATACTCCAAAAGATAGGCTTAAGGTCCAAAAGGATCTTGACAGACTTGAACACATCTAACAAAATGAATTCAATGTAGATAAAAGTAAAATTTTACAGTTAAAAATGAAAAACCAAATGTACAGGTACCTGCTCATAGAAGTAAATGTGAGAAGGATCCTGGAGTCCTAGTGGATAATTATTTAAATATGAGCAATGTGCTGCAGCAGCCTAAAACGCCATGGCAATCCTAGGCTACATTAATAGAGGGTAGACTCAATATCATATAAAGTATTCAGCTTTGTAATGCCTTGGTAAAACCATACTTGCCTTTTGCATCCACTTTTGGTTGCCACAATGTAAAAAAGAGGTTGAGAGTCTGAAAAGAGAAGAGCAATAAAAATGATTAGGGGACTGGAGTTTAAAACATGAAGAATTGTTGCAGCCATTGGGTATTTCTCAGAGGTGGATTCCGGCCAGAAATTTGCTGTACTTTTGTGTACCCGTTCCACGGTGGCATGGCCATGCCCCTGTACTTGTACAGTCCCCTAGCCTGTCCCCATTTGCAAAGCGCTTCTCAAAAGAAGGAAGCGAGGATGGAGTTTCTTCACAGGACCCGAGTCAAGAGTGGCATTGAAGCCCTCTCTGAAATAGCTGGAAAAGGTACACGTGGGTTGGAAGGTGAGGAGGAATTCAAACTTCATCTTCCTGGTGCAGTGTAGGGCTTTGGGTAAAGGCTGGAGAAAAGGGCCCTGGCTCGCTCATGCTGTCTCCCTCCCTTGTGTAGTTTGATACAACCTGCAGTCAGTGAAGCTGGACGCTGGTGAGGGCTATCTTTTTGCATAGCTTTATCCGTGTGTGTGTGTGTGTGTGTGTGTGTGTGTGTGTGTGTGTGTGTAAACAGATGGGGGCCTGGGGAGGAAGTCATTCCCCCTCCTCCAACAACTGGATAAAGCTATGCAAAAATCCAGCCCAGCTTCACTGACTATAGGTTTGAAAAGGCAACGTGGCTCCATCTGCAATAAAAGTCCACCTACAATAAAAATAGACTGGGGAGGGAGAGCACGAGCGACCACTGAGGAGACCACAGGAGGAGGGAAGCCAGGCAAAGGGGCATGCTGTAGCACACACACTTTCCCCCAGCTCCGTTTTTTTCAGAAGGCTCCTTTCTGCTCCCCTCTGGCTTCTCTGTCTCTCCTCTCACTCCAGTCTGCCAGCAGGAGGTGAGTGGGTGGGCTTTATTGTGTTCCAGGCATTTCCCACCCAGAAATGTATTTGAGAGAGTGAGAGAGGAAAGGGGGTAGGAGAGCTATATCCAATCCAACTTCTGTGTGTGCGTTGTGTATTTGAGAGAGTGAGAGAGGAAAGGGGGCTAGGAGAGCTATATCCAATCCAACTTCTGTTTGTGTGCGTACCTTTGTTTGAGAGAGGGAGAGGGAGGGAGGGATGGGGGAAGGACAGGAAGGGAGAAAGAAAAAGAAAGAAGGAAACTTCTTTCGCAAAGGAGAAAAACAAATGCTGTCTTTAAATCGGAACTGAGCATGTCTGGCTGTGGAATTCTGGGAGTTAAAGTCCACAAGTCTTAATGTTTATGACTTTAAATTTAAGCTTTAAATTGAAATCTACTGGGAACAATAAATTGCTTATATGGTTTATAGTTTTATGTTTTTGAAGTTTTGAGGTTTGTGCAATATGGGTGTTGTGTTTATAAAAGGATTTGGATGATTCCCTGCTTGTGAATGGAGTCAAACTTTCTCTAGGGTCATTATCTCATTATCTCTATCTGGTAGGAATGTGGAATGAGCCTCAGTCAGGGTTTTTTGTTAGCAGAAAGAAAGAAAAACAGCACAGCAATTTAGGGCTAGAAGGTTAGTCGGAGGTCATCTAGTCCAACCCCTTGCTGCAACAGGAAACCTTACATTATAAGATCCCTCTAACAGAGAGGAAAATTGCCAGAAAGGAGAAGGAGTTTACTAGGGCAAGGCTGCCATGCAGAAGACGTTAGAGATAGTCCTTGCTTATGACTACAATTAAGACCAAAATTTTGGTTGCTGAGCAAGAGCGTTGTTAAATGGGCTTCACCACATTTTACCCAATCCATGACATCTCCTGGTAAATGACATCAAGTTGGCCATGCCCATCAAGTCACATGACTGCCAAGCCACTCCCACCCAGTCAGGTGATCGCCAAAGCCACTCCCACCTGGTCACATGACTGCTGAGCTACTCCCACAAAACAGGCCACATCTACAGAATAGGTTCTAAAAAATTTTAAAACCCACCACTGGTATTTCTAATCTAGTGAAAATGAGGTGACATGATAGCAATATTTGAAGAGCTCACACAAAGAGTTGCCAATACTTTCCAAAGTAGCAAAAGGCAAGACAAGAAGCAATGGATGGAAACTAATCAAGGAGAGAAGCAATCTAGAAGTAAGGAAAAACTTAATTATCCAGTGGAATAGGTTGTCTTCAGAAGTTGTGGGTGCTCCACAAATGGCTACCCAATCTCTTTTAAGAAGAGATTGGGTAGCCATTTATCCAAAATAGTATAGAATCTTCTGCTTGTGTAGGAGGTTGGATTAGAAGATTTCCAAAGTCCCTTCCAACTGTTATTCTTTTGCAGCCAGCATATCTTTAACCCTCTCTCTGAACTCTTCATTCATTTTCTTTCTGAGCCCCAAGAAATTCTGCTCTAAACAATTCAAACAAGATGACAACTATTATCGTTGAACTAACATAAGACAGATATGGCTCTAATAGAATGGTTAGAAGTTGGCACTTTTCTTGCAGTTGTCTTTGATTCATCCAAGAAGCAGTCCTGCTTCATACATTTTAAACTCTTCACAATTGCATTTGCATAGATTTGTTATAACGCAGCTTTTTTATTCCATTCTTTCATGTCTGATTCTTGAAACTGCCTGGACAATCTCTGCAGTCTTTGGGCAATTTTTTTTAAAAATGGCTTGCCATTGCCTGCTTTCTCTGGCTGAGAGGGAGTGACAGGCCCAAAGTTTCCCAGCTGGTTTTTTGCCTAAGGCAAGACCAAGACTCAATGCCTCCTTCTTTCTAACCTGATACCTTAACTTCGTGATGGTGAACCTATGGCACGCATGCCACAGGTGGCACATGAGCCATTTGTTAGGGCACCCAAGGCATTGCCCTGTCAACTCCAGCTCGCATATGCAGGCTGGCCAGACTTCAGTCTTCTTTTTCAGCTGTTTTTTGCCCTCCGGAGGCTTCCCTGAAGCTTCCAGAGGGTGAAAAACAACCCAATGCACAAACCGGAAGATTGGGAACGGATTTCTGGTTTGCCCATAGGGGTGTTTTTTTTGTCCTCTGGAGCCTTCAGGAGGCCTCCCTGAAGCCTCCCGAGTGGGAAAATCAGCCCTAGAAGCAACCCAGAAGTGACTTCCAGTTTGCCCTTGGGCTGTTTTCGCCCTCTGGAGACTTTAGGGAAGGATTAGGGTTGTGCGCATATCATCATGGGTGTGGCACACCCGAGCACAACCCTCCTGCACTTCCCCCGCTTTTGGCACATGATGGGAAAAAGGTTAGTCATCACTGCCACAACTACTATCATGCTATCTGATTCTCTTTTAGATTAGTTTGAAAGTGACCTATAGGAATTGCCTTGAATTTTAACTGAATTGTAATAAAGGAAGGAAGAGCTTTGACACAATATGCTTAAGGAGTAGTCATAGGGAAATAGCTTAATTAGGTAGTCAGTTGGCCTGACTATCTGATCTTCAATCATATAGCTTTGTTAATCAAAAATTGATTTAGGGCAGGGTTTCCAACAGTGGTCAATACCCATCCCCAAATGATGATGGGCTATCCATGGGGTTGGTAAATGTTTGGTAGTCAAAAGGAGTTCAGGAATAAAGTTGTCATCATCACCATCATTCTCATCCTCATCTATGGGGAAGGGAGAAATATCCTGGCCTTTTCTCAGAAAAACAAGCAGATGTTCCTATACATATAATTTACAAAGCTCTAGTTATGGCAGCAGGAAAAAAAATATCCTTTAACTTCTCTCATTTTCTTTTAACATCAACGGGGTTAGAAAGATTAATTCAAATACTGGTGAAAAGTGAAAGTAGCAAATATGAAAGTTGGAGGGTTATTTGAAATGATTATTAAATAATAGCTATAAGGGGAAACAAACAACCTAGTTAATAGTAATTTGTAGTAAGATATATTTATACCCATTTAGGCTTATATAAAGAAGAAAGCTGAAAGAAAATCTTGGTATGAGGCATATGACTTTTGTAAATCAATTGGAGGAGACCTGGGTTATTTTAATAGTAAGACAGAGGAACGCTTATTAAACCAATTGTGAGTATAATAAACTGCTTATTTCTTAGATTTCAAAGCAGAAACACTCCTGGCAAAGGGTTTATTGGAGGACTGAATTCATTATCACAGAATATATAACTAGTGTAAATTTCAAAAACCTACATCTATTCATTTGAAAGTATTCTGCATGTAGTTAAGTTTTCTTTCAGAGATTTCTGCTTAGAATCATAGATCCAATACTTCATTTTACGTCAATAACCCATTGGATGAGACATCACCATTTATATATTTAAAAAGTCCTCCAGTGCTTACAATAGTAATACTCATGAATGATCATAAATGTAGATTCAGTCATAATCATTATCATCATTGTCATCATCATCTCAATAAGGTAACTAGGCTTGTACATGACTACTTAAATAAATTCCATTGTAGTCATCAGAACCTATTCCCACTTGAGTAGTTTTCATATTGCAGTCATAGTGGCATATGCCATATTTAAGAGTATATTTCTGGGGATTATTGATTTATGAATATGCTTATGTTCTGTATATGAAAAAGAAAACAAAAAAAGAAAATTGCAGCATTCTATTTAAACAAGACACATGCATGAAATGTATTTAACGTATTTGCTAATTATTACATTTTAGATCAGAACCAGAAGGCTGGAATGATTTAAGCGCAAATTTAAACGGTGCAAATTTAACTTGGATTGATGGAACTTTGGTAAGTAAATGATCAACATGCATGCCTTATAACACAATATTAAGTAAAATTGCTGGTATTTTTAATACTTAATGACATTATCAATATTTTTGTAGTGAAGTTTCATAGATATATAATAATATTTAACTGTTAAACTAAGTTAAACCAACTATTTAAAATCTTAATATAATATGATGTTGCTATTTGATTTGATTCAGTTTATTTTGACAATTTCTATGGATTTACTTCAGACTGCTATTGAAAAAAAATGATTTCATTGTTCTTATAAAAGCCAACAAGTTACATGAAATCTTTCATTTCACATCCTACTAATTTTTCCTTTATCTATTTTTACTGAAAGAATGTCCAGCTAGAAAAGTTGAGTTGTTCTTTTCCTAAGTAATTACTAGTGTTTAGAAGCTTAACCTAGGGCTAGAACTTTGAATCCAATGTGACATGTATTTTTATGGTCATAAAGCTGCAATTAGGGGATGATAAGGTGGAATATCTATAATGCAATTTATGTGTTATGTTTGTGAATACCACTGTTACTGCTATTGGTCCCATTGGAGCTATTTGATACTGATGATGGTATTGCCAGATGAAGAAGATGGTTTTTCATAATATCTGAAGAGCAACAAAATCAGAGGGCATCATGGTTGACCAAGTATTATCATGATCAGAGTGGGTTTCAATTTTTTTTACTATCGGTTCTGTGGGCATGGCTTGTTTGGTGGGCATAGCTTGTTGGTCATGTGATGGTAGATGTGGCTTGTTGGTTACGTGACTGGGTGAGCATGGCTGAATGGTCAAGTGGCTGATTGGTCATGTGTGGGTGGGTGTAGCTGGTTAGTCATGTGACTGGGTGCGCATGGCCAACTTGACATCACTCATGTCAAGGGGTTCCTTGCCTGGCCTCTCCTTGCTTCAAAAAGGCCTCAATGAGATATAATTTCTCTGTCTATTTATTTACTACTTCTGAACATCCAAAATATACTATTTAATCCTATATATATATGCCATATGTGTACATACATATTACATAGTATAGAATGTGTATAGGCACAAAAAGATAAATTATCTAGTATATATACTTTGTGTATGTACACGCAGACACACACACACCACACACACACACACACACACACACACACACACACACACACACACACACACATCTCTTCTAAAATTATACACATTCAACCAAACTGCATTTGGAAAAACACACCCAGAGTCCACTTTCTCCCACACATTTAACTATAACTTCGGTGTATTAGAACATTAAACATGCCTTCGGATGTTTTTCCCTGGCCTGCACATGACTGTTAGAGTCAGGACATGTCATGAGTTGAATAACAATGCTGTTGCTTAGCAACCAAAATGTTGAGCTCAATTATGGTCATAAGTCAAGCACTGTCTCTGCCTTCCTCTACTTGGCAGCCTTCTCCTAGTAAACTCCTCCTCCTTTCTGGCAATTTTCCTCTCTGTTAGATGCATCAAAATAATCCAGACAATATAAGGTTTCCTACTGGAGCAGGGGGCTGGACTAGATAGCCTCCAAAGTCCCTTCTAACCTAAGGTGACCAGATTTTCAGATTGGTAAAGAGGGACACCTTTGACTGGGGGGGGGGGACTTGATTAAAAATTTTATACGGAGCAACAAAAATTTTCATACAACGCAAAAATAGTATTTTAATA